ACATCTCACATGGGCAGTCCGCTGTGTTTCAGGGTGCAGTCCGATGTACCAGTCCGGTAGAGCGGAACCCGTTCTTTCAGAACTCGATCAAGCAGAACGCAGCAAACAGGGCCCCATGGATTTGTCGGTGTTTCATCCGACGCCTCAAGAAGATCAAGGAATCAAGGAACAATAAGGAACATGTTTTCGATTGTTTTCGAATGACATGCAAATTTATGTAAGAATCATATAATAGTGAATCCAGGCGTTCTAAAGCATTCCGCCTGTGATTGCCCTGGGCGCCCCCACCGATCGACGACGTGGCGCCAGGGGCTTTTGCTGGCGCCCGGCGCTGTGCCCTGGACCGGTCAAGCAGGATGAGGTTGATGACTTGCAAGGAGCATCGCGAGCGTACAGTGGCGGGATGTGGGAAGCTGACATGCTATCAGACCAGGCAGAGAGAGAGAGAGAGAGGGAGGGGAGCTTCCATGGTTCTACCCAAAAGAATGTCAACATGGTTTGGTGGTAACTGCGCGAGATGAAAAACGACGGTAGTGCGAGGGACTGCACGTTCAAATTTTGTTTCAGGATTCTACACAGACTCACGTCAGGGTACCAAGCATCCAGCAACATCCAGCAACTGCTGGACAGCCCTTTTCGTGCTATTTGTTTTGTTCATTTGTGCTTTTTCCCTAGGGATCCAAGTACCTTCTCAGAAGGTACTTGGACCCTCCAAATCTACATAACAGTGTCTCCAATCACCTTCTGAGAAGGTACTTGGATCCCTAGGGTTTGGATGTTTTTTGCTATCATAAATCCCCTAACTCGAAACTCTTGGCTCAGTCTCAGTCTGATGGTCAGTCTGGAGTTTTCTGGATTGGTAAGCCAAGACCAAATTGAGAGCCGACCCACCACGAGAGAGATGAAAGGAGGGCGATTCCAAAGCAGCACACTGTCCCGAAATGAAACCAACACGCCGCACACTTCCAAAAAAAAAGTAGAGGATTGACGAGGTTTGCCTTTCCAAGGCTTCCAATGGTTTGATGGTTATTGATGGTTTACAGCTGTTTCTTTCTTGGACTCCTGTGGGGTCGACACCAGGACTCCCCATGGAGAATCCATCGGAGTGTGACGAGCCTGGGCGGGTGAAGCGCTTTCATGGTGTTTTGCCAACGGTGAAGCTGTTTGCGGACAAAAATGGAGCGGTGCCCGCCGATCCAACCTGAGGAAATGGACATGGAAATGGTCATTTTTTTTTCCCCCCGTGGTTTTTCCATGTGTTTCCCCTTCGTGTTGGGCAACCGTGAAATTGAATTACTGTAATGGCAAAATCCATTGCTTTGCTGGGTTGAACTGACAGCGACCTGACCAGGGTCCAGGAGCATGCAACGAAATGAGCTCCAAATTTAGGAGTTTACACTGAATAGGTCGAATAGGTGGGCGACTTGCTTTACGAGTCCGTCGACCGAAGGTTGGGCCAGGTAGATGCAGCTGGAGTATACACCTAACACTTCCAACGGTTGCCCTGTTTGGAGACCTGTAAGTAGGGTAGGGTAGTCTATTGGACACCCAGACAGGATGACCCTGGTACCAGCCGTTCGAGGGGGTGGGTTTGAGTCGCCGGCGATGGTCCTTCTAAGTCCCAAATGCATGGAATCCAACGTGCAACTGAGTAGGTGCATGTATATATAACATTATATAACTGATTGGGGGCAAGTGCGAACCCCACTTGTATTCGTGTGTGTGTGCTATTTTCGACTTGTCTTGCCACCCCAGACCATCTCAGTGCCCAAACTGGCCTAAACGAAACGTAGTTCGGGATGACCTTTTGGCACTTACTGGGCTACCAGCCTGTCAGACAGCCTCTTTTGACTTGTTTTGCCCATGTGCTTTCCCATTCGCTGGCTGCCTTGGCTAAGGAGAAAGGTGAAAACGAGCTGGAGGAGGTCGTCCCAATGACGAGTAGCGGCAACGTGGGCTTTTCGACCACCAGCCCCTGGGACGATCCGAAGTGGGCTTGTCCACTCTTCCGAAGTCCACAGGAAAGCACTCCTACTTCACATGTATAACAGGACGCTACTAGGTTGGAGGCCATTGCTATTGGGTTGGAGGCCATCGCTTCTAGTAACAAGAAGCTACGAACGTAGCTCCTGGCATTACTACAATGCAGTTTTTACATGTAAAGAACTCACTAAGAAAAGACATGGAAGATGGCCATTGGGAAGAAATTGTTCCTTGATCATCTTCCATTTAGTGAGTCAGAGGGCGCTCACACTGGGAATGGGTTTCATCCTTTGAGTATGGTTAGCACACAAACACCAGCGAACCAGCGCACCGCAGCTTTGGCCTGTCCAAGATCGAACTAGACCCAAAGGGAGATGTTTACTGGTGCCAAACGGTACCCAGAAATCACGTGTTCTGCGTCCCAACCACGTGTCGAGGTCCTGGAACATGACTTGAAGCAGAAGTTTGTAAAGTTTGTATAGGTGCAAGAAGCGCTCCCCCGGTGTGAGAATGTACATAGCAACAACAGGAACCAGGCAGAAGAAAACAACCTGCTTCACTTGCTTGGCCCTTACATGCACAAATCCATACAAATTCCAACTCTTCCGCTTGGATCATTGCATGATTCCCACTCCTATCCAACCAACCTGGAAGTGAACCATGGGACCTACGACCTGTTTTTACCGCAACTGAGATTGGTGTTCGTCTGTCTGGCCTCGGTCTCGCCAGTGGCACGGGCGCCGACGGTCGAAGGTAATGAGATGGGCTTTTCCACCACGAGCGGCGACATGGTCATGCCCCGCATTTCCGAAGGCCCCCGCGTTCGGGCCGTGCGATCTGGAACGGCCGCACGATGCCGCACGCCTCACCTCCAAGGGCTGTGGAATCGGAGGAAGGCCTAAAGAAGGGATGAAGAAAGAGCTGGGCAACTTCGGGAGTGCTTTAGGATATGTTATAACATGTAATTTACTGTACTGATAATTATTGTACATAATAACTCCCTGGGATAAGTTGTGACATTGCTTGAGAAGGAGGCAGGACATGCAAGAGGAAGCCCCTTGTGTCATTTGCCTCGGACCGGTCACGGCGAACCGGTCACGGCCAAAGCGCCAAAGCCGCGTGGCCCGCGCAGGTTGCCCCAGCCAGTTCGGCGGCTCGATGGCAAAGATGCCAGAGCTGGATGATGAGGAGGAGATCCATGACTTCAACTTCTGCCACTTGGCCGATGCTGTGCTGGATGCTGCGCGGTTGGTTGGATCGTGGAAACCCTCACCGATGCTGTCTTGACATCCTGCATTGCATTGGGCCTCCCAATCGACCTGGATCATCCAATATAGGTGCCCAACAGACCTACTAGTACCATCTAGTACCAGACGATCTTTGATCTCCATTGAACATCCATTAAACAGGGTTTAGGTATAATTAAATCAGTTATTGGGCTGAGTGACTTGGGTTGCTGCAGTGGATGTCCACAGACTTTGGGCTGAGCGAAGCGGCTTCGTGTGGAGTACAAATACTACGTCTCATCCTGCAGATGAAGGGCCATGGATTTTGGAGATGAACGTCCCAAAGAACTGCTGGAATTCGGTTTCGGAGCCAAGAGTGGTTGTTTGGAGTGGCACCTGGGTAGACGCGCGAATCCTTTGGCTGACTGGCACCGCAACCACCATGGGCGTACGGCACCACAACCACCCAGGGTTCACCGGATGGTGGTGCATCCGCACCATTGACCGTTTCGTCGCCCGTTCTCCGCCCCGAGAACAGGGCTGTGGCTCCCGAGATCTGGGCCTCTGAAACACTCGGGGCGTGTGTCCCGACTTCGTCCGGAGAATGGAAACCATGAGGATATCGACCGGGAAGAAACGACATGAAACTCCCATCGAATCCCCGGCACGAAGAAGTAAGATGATGTGCATTCGAACCTGCTTTTAGAGATCACCCCAGAGGATTTGGAAAACAATAGGCCGTGGCAGACAATATATATATATATATATCCTCACTCTGAAATTTTGGATCTTTGCATTTTGCCATAACAGTAGATACTGTAGTTTTGTTTTTGTTGGTTTCTTGAACCACGCAGCTCCAACAAACCCACCGGGCTCCAAACAGATAAGGGACACGAGTCCCAAGCGAATTCATGGTCCATAGATATCCATATATGATCATATATATATAATATATATATATATATCATACCCACTAAAAGCCATTGCAAGGGGCCTGCGTCAGATCCTCGTCTTTCCTTTGTTGCCAGTTTTGAGCACTGAGGCATTTTGAGTCCCAGTTGGACCAGTAAAATGGCCTGGGAGTCTTGGATTTGGGGAGATTTGGGAGGGCCCCCCTCACTGATTGCGGCCCAAGAGTAAAGACAGACCATTATAGATCGATCTGAAAGGGGGTCCTCTATGCAGATGTGATGATACTGGGTAGAGGGGGACGGCCCGATCCGATAGATTTCAGTCAGATGATTTCGTTGTCACCCGCAGAATCCTTGGGCCCGGGCCCGAGGCAGGGGAGGGGTCCGGGCCCGAACCAAACCCTATCCCAAACGCTCCATGAGACTGCCATATATGCCGCCCCATTGGCCCCGACTTCAACCACCCCTGGCCTGATCGGCAGTCCTATGGCAGTCCCATCGGTCGCGTCTGGGTATGTTGGTTTCTTGCCCGGATTCCTGAGGGTCATCGTCCAATCATACGGGCCGAGCCGGGCCTTGCGTTTTGCTCCGCGGGAGCAAGGCCTCGGTGCATGGACCGTTGGTCGAAGGGGCAGACACTCATGGGACTGGAAGATTGACCTACATTGGGGTGGTTTCAGGGGTCAATGTTGGGGTTTGCTATGGTTTATTATAAGTCTACATTATATTGGATACATGGAGTGCCTGGGATTGTTGTTCCTCCGATCCTTTTGGAGAACGACTTGCCGTTTTTCAGCATGAGGCAACACTCCCCCCCAAAAAAATCCCAGTCGCGCAAGTTCCATCCGGGGTTGCAACTCCCTCTCAGGACTTCTTTGTGATGTTCTTGGTGATTTTGGACTCCATCATCCTTCCCTTTCAGCTGTCCTTCAAACATGGAACTCCGGACGATGCCTTCGATGAGTTCTGGTTTTGGCTCACGACCATCATTTTCTTCACGGACGTCTTTCTCTCCTTCAACACGGCCGTGGCCAACCCATCGGAGCCAGGGACATGGACCTTTGGCCAGAGTTGTTGGGACAAAGCTCGCAAACACGGTGGAAGCCACATGGTCACATGCAGCACAGATTTCTACAAATGATTTTACAAATAGGGAAATAACGTGGGTCACTCATGTTCCAGGCGCAATTATATATTATAGATTATATAGGATTAGATAATGCAAGACACAACATATGTATATATAGATATTGTAGACATGTTTATATAGACACATACACCTACCTAGACCAGTGGAGGTAATTTTCAGGCAAAGCTCAACCAAAGCAACGAACACCCACATGTTTGTTTATTTTTGTAACTGTTGCTTTCTCTTACTTCTGTGGAGCACTTTTGATGACACGGGGGGAAAGCAGTTGTGTTTGCGCCCGGTGTTGGGGTCTGCCAGGCGGTGATCAAGCAAGTAAGCCCCACAACTGCATGATCATGGCACACACATTTGCTAAGGGCATTTTGATTTGCGCACGTTCTGCTTAAGCAGACAACACGAAAAAAAACTTTGTACAGTATATGTGTTCATGCGTCTCAAAATGTGCTTCCAACACGTTTTGGTGAACAAAAGGCGTTTTGGGGCTCCAACATGGTCCAAAAATTTCCCAAGGATCAGTGAGGAATTTGTCAGAAGACACAGATGATCAGTGTGAGACTTGAGAAATCCTGGCTATGACTGTTCTAACATTCGCGGAGTTGCGCAGAGCGTGACATAGCACATATTAGGGCCTTCCAAGTATAGTACAGATGCATTGACGTTAGGATCTTGACTGTGATTGCATGCAAGGCTTATTCCGCACTCAACGCGCTCCACATCCACATCATAACGCCCATTGACAAACACAGAACGAGGGGTCCCCGTAAGTTCAACGCTCTATAGGAGATCCGCCAAGTTGGTTGGGAACCGGTTTTCAGAGGAAGCACCAAGAACATTTGTTGTGGAGAAGCTTTTATACACCCTTTGTCCAGGAGCTGAAAAGCGGAATGATCACATCGCCGGTCCAAAAGACTCAGGTCTTGGATCATTGGGATGCGATTGACCAAGCTGGGATGGAGTCGGAGATGTTAGGATAGGATTGGAGTGTCGATTCTTGGAGCAGTCCGGGACTACAAGACTTGACATCAATCCCCAGAACCTCCAGCAACCCAAAATCCGCTTCATCTCTCCGATGTTCGGACTTCCCAAACTTCACTCATGACCCTCCCCCAGGATCATGAGCCGTTCGAAGATTGCGTGGATGTATTTGCGCGGATGGTTCTCCATCGACTTCTTCAGCACCATCCCCTACGGCCACCTCGCCGCCGCCTTCGGCAACGGCGAGTCCGCTGGAGCCGTCGGACGCCGGGCATCCGGACCGGGGGCATCGGACTGGAAGCGGTCCAAAAGGCCTGGTCCCAGGCAGGAAGAAACACATGAGAACACCATATAAACATGTTGACATGTGTGTTTGTAAGTGAGCAGCTTGATTTTTGTGCATGGGTTTGAAGGATATCGTGTATTTGTAACTATAGTTGACTATTTATATCCTACCTGGCCAGTAAGGAAATGGATTTCAACTTTCGACTCATTTGGGGATGGGTCAAAACTTGGAGCCCTTGTCCACCATGTAGCTTGACCTCCCAGGTAAGTCAACCCGGTGAAACCGAAGGGTCGTGGGAAGCGCCTCAGACAGAGTCCGCAAGTTTCGTTGGTAAGTCAACCAAGGCTTCCATGGTGCCATGACCCACAGCCATTTCAGTCACTGAGTGGGTGCAAAAGGGGCTTTTTTGCGCCTCAATCTATGAAGTGTTTTGCTCCTGGTGCTTAATCCTGGCCGAGGATTGCTGAGAATGCTCAAGTTCTTGCGCATCATGCGGTTAATGAGGATGCTGAGGATGTCAAAGCTGCGAGCAGTCTGGGAGCGAGTTGAAGTACGAATCGGCTCCATTGCCATCATCCAGACCATCATGCTCTCTGGCATTTGCTCGAGAACTCGTGTTAAACGGAATAACTACTGGTTCATACCGCCTTTGGCCGCGTATTTCATACCAGGAACGAGCTGGACCCAGCAGTGGGGCCACGAAAGAGGCAACGGTTAATGATACCTGAAACCAGCAGTGGGGCCAGGAACGAGCAGCAGTGGGGCCACGAAAGAGGGAACGATTTTTGGCCTGAAACCAGGAAGAGTAAGTACTGCACTCCATATTCAGCCACGTTTGTATCACGTTTGTTCATGTTCCATGGTGTGCCACAGAACATGACCAGAACATACCAGAACCATTACGTGGTGTTCTTGGTAAGGAGCCAGATGCAAGCGTGTAAGTGGTTGTGCGTTTGCGGAATTTTATGTTGCTTGATACAACTCAAATTGAAGGCACGATCGCCACCTCAAAGTGATCCCCCACCGGCGGGACCATCAATTTTTGTGGCTTTATATATATATATTATATAACACCCCCCGCCCCTACCCCACCTTGCCGCCCCCAAACCATGGTGAACATCATGGCATGCCCGTTCCGTTGACGTTGTTATTTTGCCGGGGTCGTCCTTACACACCGCCCCCATTTGGCCGCCACCCTGTTGGCCGCCACCCTGATGCTTGGTGCATTCGCTGAGGTTGATGAAGGTGCTCCTTTTTGTGGTCGCCATGTGCCATTGGAGCGCTTGTCTCTTTTGGGTGATTGGCTGCCAGGAAAGCCTTTTGACCGACTTGTCCCTCGGCCAACTTGGTGAAGATAGATTCTGGCGGACATATAATTTTCCCCCGCCCTTCGGGTGACGCCCCGTTTTCGTTGGATTGTAGTTAATTGTTTAGAATGTGCTTTCAGCTGCTGAAACATGTTGACCGAGCTCTTTGACCTCGCCAAAGTAGATTTGCACGCTCGTCGTATCATGTTCACATCCCATTGTGTTATTAAGTTTGGCTGTTTCGATGTGTATGAACCATCAATGATCAAACATCTAACAGAACCCACCCGAAAAACACATTCACCAGTCAGGCTCCGCAAAACATGTCAGGCTCCCACCCGAAAGTGCTGCGCAATTCTCTCAGCTGCAGCACTGGACGACTCTGCCACGCCGCGATTCGCCCTACGTAGGCGGGGCGAAACGCGACGAGAACCGCGTTCATCCAGGCGCTGGAAGGAACGATGTGTAGGAAATAGACAGACAGACAGACAGACAGATAGATAGATATGTAGATAGATAGATACATAGATAGACAGACAGACAGACAGATGGATCTGTAGATAAAAAGAAAGATAGATGGATAGACAGACAGATAGATAGATAGATCGATCTGTAGACAGATAGATAGATAGGTCTGTAGATAGATAGACAGATAGATAGATAGACAGACAGACAGATACATAGATAGATAGATACATAGATAGGTCTGTAGATAGATAGGCAGACAGACAGACAGACAGAGATAGATAGATCTGTAGATAGCTAGACAGACAGACAGATAGATAGATCTGTAGATAGATAGATAGACAGACAGACAGATAGATAGATCTGTAGTTAGATAGATAGACAGATAGATAGATAGATGGATATGTAGATAAATTGTAGACAGACAGACAGACAGACAGACAGATAGATAGATAGATAGATCTGTAGATAGATAGACAGATAGATAGATCTGTAGATAGATAGACAGACAGATAGACAGGGAGACAGACAGACAGATAGATAGATCTGTGGATAGATAGATGGATAGATAGATAGATCTGTATATAAATATGTAGATAGATAGACTCATAGATAGATAGACAGGCAGATAGATAGATAGACAGGCAGACAGATAGATAGATCTGTAGATAGATAGATATACAGATAGATAGACAGAAAGGCATGGTCTGTAGATAGATAGATTCATAGGCAAATAGATGGATAGATCTGTAGATAGAAAGGCAGATAGATAGGTAGATAGACAGATAGATAGATAAGTAGATCTGTAGATAGATAGATAGATAGGTAGATAGACAGACAGACAGATAGACAGACAGACAGATAGATCTGTAGATAGATAGATAGATAGACAGACAGACAGATAGTTAGATAGATAGACAGACAGACAGACAGATAGATCTGCAGATAGATCTGTAGATAGATCTGTAGATAGGTCTGTAGATAGATAGATAGATAGATAGGTTGATGGATAGATACATTTACATAGATACATAGATAGACAGACAGACAGATAGATAGATAAATAGATGTCCATATCTTTGTTTATATATACAGAGTCTATATGTATGGGAGGATGTGAAACATGTGGAGGATCACCCGCAAGGGACGGATGCTTGACATGAAACATCTCCAAGATTGATCCAAGAATACACGTGCAGTTTTGCGCCGTGATTTCCAATTGACGTTTCTTCCAAGAGACTCGGCCCATTTGGGTTTTGTTTGAGTGACTTTCACCCCCCCCCCCCCCCCCCCCCCAAAAAAAACAACAACACACACGGAAAAAGGAGAAAAATGCTCCCTTACTTTGCAGTGATGGATGCAGTGCCCCTCTTGGAGCGAGCGTCCCGGACCGTTTCCACAGATCAAAAACGGACCATCGAGCGAACAGGCGATGCATGGACCTTTGCCGAGAAACCCATGGAAGAGCAGTGGCTGAGAAGCAGTGGAGAAAAGCGGAGAAGAAGGTACATACACTCATGTAACTACTTTGTTGAAACAACTGTAGAACACTCATGTACATGAACACTCATTGAAACCACTTTGGAACACTCATGTACTTCATTGAAATCAGTGGAGGTGTTCCATCAGACGACCCTCTGACTCACTCACATGTTTGTAAAGGACCCATTGTTTGTAAAGGACTGGTGGTTTTCCTTTCGGGACCCTGCCATCCACGTAACCATGCCATCCGTGACTTCGCCACGTGACGTTGGTGGCCGGCTCAGCCGGAGCGAGTCGGAGTGGTGGGGAAGGTGTGCGAATGCTCTGGGCGAGACGTGATGTGTCTTGTTCGCCGTGAAGGCGCCACCGTGAACCGCGCGGCCACGAAGGGTGGTCCGGTCCGGTGAGGGACGAACGACACCAACGGAGCCAGATGCACAGACTCCGTCTGAGCGAGCCAGTCAAGTACCGAAGGAGCTTCTGTAGTTCCGAAGGTATGTAGGCGGTTCCTTGTGCCAACATGTGCCAACTTGTAGACATTTCTGCTTTGCTGAGCGATGCCCACTTGCACTGACTCAGGCGATCTGGGTATGAATGGACCAACTGGTTGTTCTCCAACTGTGGGTGGTGAACCAGACATGAGAAACCTCCGACCCCAGACCCAGTTTCACTGGCCAACGTTGTAAGACCAACAAACTGGCCCAAGTCTCCCATGATGTGCCCATGTTGCACAAGATCGATGTACCGGCCATACCCCTGGCCATGCTTAGTAACTGTTTAGTATATTCGGTTGGGGATTCGGTGGCATGAGTTGCATGACTGAGTCGTTGATCCCAGAGTCGGTTGAAGAGAACATCTATACAGGAAACCCACAGTTATACAGCGCGGCAGTCCCCGGTTTCTATTGGTTTCCTGTAGGTGTTCCCTTAGCCTTAAGCCGATCGATTTGAGGTACATTTTCTGCTTCTACTGGACCTTGGGAGTCATGAGGACCATGCCAGCAGAGGTCACGCCAGTCCCTTGGCAGAGGGTCACCGCTTTTCAAAAGGCTTTGACGGTGAAGGGGGGCACGAAGCATTGGTCAGCACACGGAAAGAGTATGTACTTCCAATTCCAAGCTGGTCCACTTCCATGTTTGAGGGTGGTTCTGTGGCGCGCGTGGTTCCGTATCCTGAAATAACAGGGGTGATTGATTGCACGAACGGAGAGTCAAAGGTGGATTGCGTGACACGACCCTATGGAGCCTGTGCGGATTATTCTTGTGACCTTTTTTTGGCACACTTCCTGATTTGAAAAATATTTTGACAACTATGAGACAAACTCATGACAGATCCGTATCCTGGCATACAATCTCATGACAGCTTATGACACGATCAGATCCGTATCCTGGCATTGCCATCGAACCAGCCATTCTCGGGAACCCGAATATAAAAGATACTCTTTTGTATATAATATTATAGGCCTCTCCCGGCCTCCCAGCTTTCCTTCTATGGTCGTTTTCTTTTATTGTCGGCCTAGCACCCCCAGGTCACTGGTCAAAGTTCATGCAGAAATTGTTCCTATATATATAACTTAATTTTTGTCCTTATTATCCATCAGACTCGGTTCGAATGGGTCCGGCTCCGAGGTGAATTTTCCCGAGCGGATCTTCGTGCTGCTGTTCATGTTCTTCGCACTCTCGGCCTTCGCCGTGTCGGTGGCCTCTTTGACCCAGGCGGGAGCGGGGGGGAGGAGGGGGAGGAAGGGGAAGGGAATGGGTCTTGATAGGTCCAGCGGCGCGAAAGCCCATGAAAAACAGGGTTTTCACATACAAAAGCCATGTTTGCTTAAAAAAAAGCCAGGTCTTTGATGGTTTGTGGGGACCCTGGGTGATTCTTGGGTTCCTCACTCCGCCCCAAAAACCGAAGCTCAATAGACACCCCCCAAAAAAAGACAAAACAAAAACGAGGGCATGCTGGGCTGAAAGGCGAGAACGATCCAACACCCACCCGTCCAAAGTATTCTTTTTTGCACAACTTCTGTGGAAAACAGGGCACTTCTGTGCGGCACATGGCTTGTCTTGTAGTTGGGGTTGTGGGTTGTGAAGTATGCTTTGGAACAACCATCGGAGATTCGTTTTTTGCGGTGCTTGGCCTGTTGGACATCCTCCACTTGGCCGTCTCAACGACGGGACCTTCGAATCGCTTCCCACAGATCTCGACATCCCAGCTTTGGAGACTGAAAGAACATCAAATCACAGATGTTGAGGGTTCGTGCGGGCAACAAGCAACACGACTACTTTGCACAACGTGATATATAACATGCGTGACATGTGTTGAGGACGAAGTTGCTTGAGGACAATCCTGAGCACACAGGGTTCATGTATGTTCACGTCCTGATTTGGTGCTGCTGTTCGTATCCACAAGTGTCTATAATCATACGATCATACTGTACGGTATACGCGTTACAGCTTCTCTGAACAAGATATTTCACCAACAGAACAAGATGAACAAGGACGTCTCTCAGGAGCCACGGTTGACAAAAAAAACAATGGAAAGACCAACAAATGTTTTTTTCAACTCCAAACGCAAGTCTTGAAGACGAAACGAGTCGGGGTCGCAAAGCTTCCTCGATGCTTAAGGCTTACTTCAAGATCTTTGAGCGGGGTCGCACCTTCAACGATGAATACTTTTATGTGCCCCAGCGGGTCCCAGCGGAAGTTTGGGCTGAGGGCCTGACGGCATATGGATTGGCTGTTATTGATTCATGCTTCAATTGTTAGAGGATAATGAAGGCCCAGGCAATGAGCTTTCGCTAGCTGTTGTGGAGGGTCCCCAAATCTCCCAGCAGGAGACTTGGGGACCCGCTGCCAATTGGACTTAACAGGCTTGAAAACGTTTTTTATCATTGGCCTAGCCGACTGCCAGTCATGGCTGTAGCAGTAATCACGGGATCGCTCGCGAGTCGCGCTATCATTGGCCTAGATTTCTACTGATTTCAGAGTAGATGGCACAAACCCAAAGATGTCCCTTATACTTATATTGGGATCCATACAAACCACCTTTAGGGGATTGTGCCATCTACTCTCAACCCCCAGATTCGATGTGAGACTCTGGCGATACGTGTGCATGGATCTACGTGTGGAGAGCCGCTGAGCCAGCTGTAAGATGCCTTTAAGTCATTGAAGTCGGCTTCGTGCCGCATGTCTCGCTTTGATCCGCGTCGAACTGCGGTTTCTTCGAACTGCGAGCCGAACGAAGAAAAAACATACGACGATGTCACATGCCGTCGCGACATCGTGTTTAAAACCATCAGTGCTATAGGTGTCAGTTTTTTCCGATAGATTCATTGGTTGCACCAGGGTATTCTGTGGATTTGACCCTTTCTACCGGCGGCTCGATGTAAGGTGCGCATGTACCTGAACCGCTTTGGAGCTCCTTGGCTCGCCGTATAAGTGGGCGCCTCTTGGGCTCGCGAGCGACCGGTGCGGACATGTCCTCCGGGCACGACGCGACGCCAAGGCGCAAAAGCCCTTGGAGGCGCGGGTGAAGCAGTTCTTGGGCCACCTGTTCGAGCGACGGCGGATCATGGCCAAGGACCGGCGAGGGAGGTTTCTGCTCGCTCGAGTCGCTCGAGTTCTGTCGTGCGTCGGCGCGGCGGCGTAAGCCACACAGAGTTCATTTGGGGCGGTGCATATGGCTGTGTCATATGATTTTAAAATCTTCGACCCTCATACTGGCATTGACTGTATGTTAAGATTGGTTGGCATTAACTGTATATGTTATACATGGCATTAACTTCCTCATAGGCTTTGACCCTCTACAATTTTCGACCCTCTATCTGGCGTCAGAGATGCAACTCAATCGTCACTAAGTGAGTACTTGGCAGAGCGAACCATCGACGGACAGGAGACCAACTTAATGGACAAGCTGCCGGAGGCACGTTTACTCGTTGTGTGTCATGGAAACACCACTGTCTTTGTGAGTCCATCATTACGAGTTCAGCAGGAAAAGAATGGAAAGGACACACATGATCAATCTGGGCACGGGAAAATGGAACACCGAGTCGGTCATTCTTACCGTTGCTATGAAGGTCCTTCTTACGGTCTCCTTTGAAACATTGGTTCGCCCCATCGGACGTCGGATCCAGAACAGAGGCTTCCGGTCGATCCTGCAGGTTCTTCATATGTTCTGAGACTCATGGTGAGATGTTTTTTTTTTTTTTTTTTCCGGGTTGCTCCTTCGGTGTTGGGTACAGACATCTCAACTTAGAGTGACCCCAAAACAGATTGATGTAGTTGTTCCGAAGTTATTTGGCTTACGCACGGGGCATCGCCTTCCCCATCCGAATCCAGCCAACAATACCGTCCTGGCAGCCAACAATACCGTGGAACTCAAGGTGCTCAAAGAATGCACTGCCCTTTTTTACGGCGGTGTGGGTTGATTTTGTACGCCTTGCTTTTGTCAATCTGTATGCAATTTTGTGTGTGTCTATTTCCATGTTTCGGCTCATGAGATGGCAATGCACATCCCACAGAATCACAGAATCCACAGATGATTCGGAGCATTGACTGGAGTCCTTCATTGAATCCCAACCTTTTGCTAGTTGTGTTAGGTCCAATGCATTCTCGTTGCAGGTTTCCACTTGTCCAAAAGATGAGTTTATGGTTTGATATGGTTTGGATCCTTTCTTTTTCTTTGTGCCGGGGCATGCTGGGGCGAATCGGGGCGTTCGGGTGGCACACCGCGCCGCCATCCAGGTCTTGAAACACGATGTGCAGAACATGCTAGTGTGGCATCACCTCCAGAAGTTGCAGCTCGTGAGCGATCTCGGCAAGGGCGCCATACAGGAGATTTGAGCCTTGGCTGCCTTAAGGGCCTTGGTTTAGTTATTTAGAGGTTGGTTCTTCTGACAGGGAGGGATGAGTACCCCTTGAGCCGCCCGAGTGTCCCAGTCCACCGCTGTGATGAAGGGTCCAGTATGCTTCTGGTGTAGGCTGCCAATGGCTATTCCCTCAGGAACGCAGCTGGAGGCCTTCATCCAGCTTGTGATGTTTGAACCGTCCACATCCGGTCCTCTCTTCTCCTTATTATAACTGCAAGGGTGGGGCCCAGTGGATTCACAGGGCTTGGCACCAACTCCCCTCCCCCCCGGAACCTCTCAGCAGCGTCGCAGCTGCGTCGCCACGCCCTTCGCCCGGTCCTGGAGATCCCGGAAAGCCTTCGTTCACAAACATGGACCAAACGTTGGACTATGCTGATCGCGCCTGGGTGAGGCCTAGTATATCCAGACCTGCCAGAGTTGATTCCCTTACAAATTACAGCTGCTTCCAGAAGAGCATGGCTTTTTGACCAAACGGCACGGGGTTTCTAAACGACACTGTTTCAAGAAAAACGACTCTTCTTCCACGCAACAATCCGTGTCAAGAGGCCCGATCGGAAACCACCCCAAACGGCACCTAACTCTCACGAACTGGTGGACCCAGGTTCCCTTCAAGTTCCTGTTTGCTTCCTGCGTGGATTGCTCTCTGATTGACTATACCATTACCCCTACATGACCTGGTATGGTCAGAGGGTCACTCCTGGTAAGGGACTCTCATGCTAAGGTAAGGGACTTGTGGGATTACCGGACTACCATTACTTCACCGGGCCGGCGCAGGTGCCGCGTCCACGATTGCGGACCACATGCCGGGGGTGCTTCTGTGCACCAGAGGTGAAGCGGGGAGGCCCATGGAGCAAACATCGCCATGGAATGCTTCGGGGGGGGTCATGCCTTTGGATGCAGCCGCGGGCCACTTGAGGTGTATTTGGATGCATTTTTGGCACTATAATATAGTAAATATTAGTAAATGATGTTATAGTTATAATTACAGTAAGTTATAATATTTTATATGTAACTATCATTAATCATTTGTCGTGAATTCATACATTATCTATACCAGCACCTTCCAACAGGTCTCCTTTGGAGGCTTTTGTAGACTTCAAGGGCGCAGGTGGTGACCTGTTGGAAGGTCCTGGTATGTATATTGCTTGGTCTTTGTTGGGGTAGTAGGACTTTTTTGTAGCTTGATCCCTTCATGGATTTCATCCGACGACACCTTTGCGGACTAATGACTAATATACGAACAGGCCGGAACTAATTCCATGGATACAGCTGCAAGCTCTTCTTGTTGGAAGTCCTTTGCAATGGCAACGGTAGTAAAGCATGTAGTAAAGCATATACTAGCTGCTGATTTTCGACCTATTGGAATAGCTAGGCTTTGCTTTGGGCTTCTCTCTTTGTGAAAGGTGTTTCACATCATGTTGATGGATCATGTTTTTGGCAGCTGTTCAAATCCGGTCGCCCGAAGTAGATCTCAGAAACCCGGTCGCCCGGTGGCTTCAGACTGCTTGCAAAGCACTTTGGTTGACCAGATCTGCTTTCAAAGCATTTTGGTTGACCAGATCTGCTTTCAAAGCACTTTGGTTGACCACTGCAGTGGTTTTGACCACCGACCCAGGTCGCGGAGTCCACGTGGCTTCTGTGTTCCGGGCGGCTTCAAGTCTATGACGTCCCTGGGCGAAGACGACCTGCGGGCGGCGCGACACGCGACGCGCGACGGGCGACGCGCGACACGCGACGCCACAGCGACGCTGAAGAAGCTGAAGAAGCCGAGGGTTTTTTGATGGTTTTTCAGAGGCTTTGGAGCGGTTTGGGCGGTTTGCTCCGGTGATGGAGGTGAGACGTTGATGGTTTCCCGTGGAAACCTTCTCCTGAACCCGCGGTTGGGCGGTTGGATGGCATAGGATGGGACCCCATGATGGAGCCATTGTGATTTGAGACTTGCTTTGGGGCATGACTACGGCAGTCCGCCGGACCAGGCGTGGGGTGGACTGCAAACATATTTGAGGTGTGATCGGTCGAAGGGAGCGTCACTTCCGTCACCCCCCTCCTGGATCATTCACCATGAGTGGCGGCAACAGAGGTGGGAGATTGGGGGTGACGTTACCATTGTGGCCAGTTTGTTGTTGAGTGTCACGGAGCCGGAAGGCTAGCTGCTTACCTTGGGGAAAGCTAGCTTATCCAGTCGGAGTTGGGCAACCTTTTCGGGGAGCGTGCGATGGGGAAAGCAAGGTGCATACATGCTCCAAATATGCTCCAAGCATGTGACACATGCTTTTTCCCTTCTGGGTTCGGGAAGCAGTTGGCAACATCATGCAACATCACAAGCTGGAATTTTGAGATTCTGTGCGCGGTAAGACGTGCCACGGTGTAAGAAGACTAGTTTGTCGAGGATGTTAGTTTTTTCCCGTTTTTTTCTTTCATGGCAGTTTTCGGGAAGGTGATTTCGTTGGCAAACGCGAAGGCACTTCTCATCCAAAGTAAACCCTCGCACGTGGTCGCCGCTTCCTCCTCAGGAGGCAGAGGAAAGATGGACCAGCACGACAGGCCTGGATGAATAGCTGGAAGAATCGTGCCAGCTCAAGGAGCTATAAGGAGCTTAGTTTCAGGGATGAAAGCCATGTGCTTAAAAAGGCTCGCTCGGGTCATAGCAGGTCATAGCTGGTCCGGCGAGGAAAGAGGTTGACGTCCAATGCTGAGCACACAGCATCCAGAGTGGTGCCACTTGGAATCCCTCTCCCAGAATCGAATCTCCAGAAGATCCTTGGCCCTTAGGTTTGATCGATCAGTTTGGAAGAAATCTAGGCTGGCGGCTTAACCGCCCAACTCAGTCTTGTAATCCTAAATGTTGGCATTGCCTAGAACGTGTTGAGGAGCATAATTACACGTTTCCTCTCAACACCTTCTTTGAAGTTCCCAAGCTTTGCAATGTTTTGTCCAATTCATTTATTTTCCCTTTCTCATCCTTTCTCCCTGTCTCTCTCTTGCCCTCCGAATCTCACCCAGTCCTTTGACCCGAGCAAAGTCGTTGGCCTGACTAGGCAAGCACCGAGTGACCGTCATTGACTATGAGACCCTAGCCACACCGGAGCCTTACCACTCCACACTCACTGTGTCCACCGCGACGGTCTGCGAGCTGCTACAGATCAGTAAGGCACAAGACCCCGCGTTCCAACGCACGCGCCGATCGGTCAGGCACATGTAGTTTCTGTCACAATCTATTCACTATGACAATGACTATATAGAATTATACACATATACATACACATACATACACTATATACTATGGCATGTATATTATACGGCATTCTTTTGATCATGTTTCATTTTCGAGCCGCAGAGTATCGCAAACATGGTGTGAGCAGGAGAGGCATGGGGGTGCCGATCGTGATTCTGTCCAGGCCATTTTCTTGAAATTCGCTGGGCACAACCAGGCTGAAACTACAAGGCTTTGGCGGGGAAGGGTTTTGTGGCCCTGATTGGGCATTGGGGCACGCCACAGAATCACCAAATGTCACTATAGAGGGCTTTTTGGCGATCTACCAACTATCAATGTCAATCTACAAGATATACTGGATGTTGAATCAATTGTCAATGTCATTCACTCCTGCTGCCACCCTACACCACCCACCGATTTCAAGGAACTCTGATGACATGATGCGAAAAGAAATTGGTCCTCCAACCAACCTGTCAACTTACAAAGCTTGACGAACACCTGGAACTTTTGACCACATTTGCAGGGAAAACGCGGGTGCACATTGCACATCAACAACTGTAATACCATGTTCAGTGCCAACCTAAACGCAGGGGCCTCTCACCCGTTCAATCTTTCGCTCAACCGTTTGCTCCCTGCTGCAGCTTCACCCAAGCTAAGTGACGAGATGTTTTGTTCGCTCTCCCTTTCTTGGGTGTGGGAAGTGCTTGTGCAACAATGACTCCCAGGGTGAAGTGTGGAGGTCTCAAAAAAAGATAGAGCCAGTTCCCCAAGACATATGAAATGGGCCATTTGAAATGGGGTGAGTTTTCCCCTAGTTGATTCTATGGGCCTGATATGGTCTTTGAGTCTTTGTAAGTTTCGCAGGAGTGTAAAACTGTTATGAGCTTCAGGATGAAGTAAGTGCACCGCGGGTATTGCTGGCAATCTCCCAGAACCCTTTGAGAAAGCGGCCGCATAAGCCTTGTGCACCGTACTGTGCACCTTGTTCAGTGGAACACAACATGTTCGCAGTCTCAAAACCATGTTTCTTGACTTTCAAGCTATCCGGGGTTTGTGACCGCTAGCTCAATTCTCAAAACCAATGCGAAAGAACATCTCTTGATACGCGAGAAGACTACGACGGGTCCCGCCCGGATTTCTCCGCTCACATGTTCACCGACGTCGCCCGGAAAAATCGATGGTGGCCACCAGGCAATGGCGGAAGAAGCAGGAGCAGTCCAACAAGGGTGTCATCAAGGCGCCATGGGGTGAAGGGCGCCAGGTCTAAATGTAGACTCTTGATTAATACCCCCCCCCGTTCAGCATTTGGATTGAAACAACCTCGTTATCTGCAGGGGTAGGATGGACGGGTGTATTAATCAAGAGTTGACATTCAGTCATGGTGAACCTTGTGGCACCACTTGGACCTCATGGTGAATAGGATGATTCTCTCCGCATGTCCGGAGCGAAAGCACGCATTCTCCTCTCCAGAATCACACCAGATTGCCTGGGAAGCGAAGGATGGGTATATTGCGGGTTGGATCTTGATGCGGCCTCCCCGTGGTCTGCGCTTTGGAAGGCTGATGCTCCAGGATCCTGGGCACCAGCACTTGAAGAATGTACATGATAAATGCAACTACCAGCAGTTTTCCAGATTCCAAAGGTGTTGCTTTTAGTCCCTGAATAGGGGATTATGGGCACCCTAGCCTCCAACCTGGTGTTTGGACTCTTCTTGCAGATGCTGAGGGAGCGACTGTACAATCCAAGGGGCCCAGAGCAGGACTTAGGGTTTAACCACGGATGATGCGCTTGCTAGTTTCCCATGACCAAATCCAGTTTGTAAACCACCTAGGGCTTCTATGCTTTCCTGTTTTGGCCAACTGAACCACCTCAGCGGAGAGAACTAATTGCATGAACTGTGAACCTCGCATGAACCACCCTTCCAGGGTCTCAAGAGGCCAAGGTTTGGGATCAAGGTTGGAACATGTAATATAGCAATATGCACCTGTCTGAGTCTGAGGGACATGTTTTTAGTGTTTTTTCTCAGTATATATATATATATTATATATTTGCATAACTACCGAGAATGATGAGAATGCAAGAGATTGATGGTTCAGATTCAACACTCAAACAGCCCCAAACTCTCTTCAAGTGCCTCGAAGCTCGGGACGGTGTCTCACGCCGATGCAGGTGCAATTCTCGGGCCTGGAGAACACGGAGGAGCAAAACACCATTTGCGCCTCCGCGACGACGGCGGTGCTGATGTCCGGGCACTGATCAGGCGCGGTTCACGCGGGCGCTGCGTCGGTGGCGGTGTCCACCGGGCATCCTTGGTGGGGCTAAGGTTGGGGGGGCAAGTCATTTGGTCACGCTCTGGGTCAGATAGACTAAACGTGTGTGATGACCTGGCTGGGCTGGGGTTTTTGGGCGAGCCAATCACGCTAAAAGGTGTCATTCGTGCAGATGCCTCGCACACCGGACATGAATGGTGGATGGAGGTGAAGAGGGGAATGAACATGGAATGGTGGCATTAGACCTTCTGGAATGTGTGCTCCCCATATCTCCACCTAGGTGCCGAAACAATCCTAGCTCCCCCCCTAAGCTCCATAGCAACAATAGCCACAACAATTATTTAGTGTTGTTCCCTGATCTTGCCTAATTGTCGGCGTTGATTCTGCGAAGTGACCATGCTGATGGTACGAGAGGGCAGGGGTCCCATCCAGTTTCTGGTCTACGTTCTGGGCACCCAGTTCTGGCACCCAGTTCCTGCGCGGAACTGCATCGTTTGGTCCAATCGCTCCAAGCATCGGATTCGGCGCCTCGAATCCACCCCATCTCCACCAGGGCGCCGCGCTGCAGGGGCACTTCGGGCGGGGGGGCGCCCGAGCATGAAGAAAGGCCCTGGAATGGATATCGATCGGCTCATGGTCAGCATGGTGGTCGTCTTTTTGAGATTGATTGTGATCATAAGCTTTTATTTGTCAACTGTTCCAGATTAGCAGGCTTGCCGTTCTGGTTGGCAGTTTGCTTTGGCTTTGACTAAGTTGTGGATTGGGTGGCTTGAAGTAGCCGGTTCAGCCGCAGATCTCAAGCGAGGGAGCGGCTTGTGGTATCACTTTCCGTGGGCAAGTCTCAACAGTGATGCAAGACAACCGCGGAATAAAAGTTGAGGGAATGACCCATGCCACTGTGCTCCCATTTTGATCCAACGGTGCCGGACCACATCAAATGAGAAGCCGCTATTAAAGGAGGATCGCACATCTTGTGGAGCACATGGGGGCGTTTCCTGCTGAAGCAGTAGTACTTTGGACATGCATGAGAAGCTGTAGCTGCCGGGTCTGGGCACGTCAGTGTCTCACCGATCGGCGCGTTCCGCTCGCTTCTTTCGTCGTGGTGGTGAAGAGCGGGATCCAGGTTCAGAGGGCATGGGGAGATAGGATTGTGGTTTGTTTCGGGCGACGGTTGGACCTGAGGAAGAAACATGAAGAAACACGATATGATGCGATATGGGCCACAAGAGAGAATGAATTGAGACTATAATTGTCATACAAATGAAGCATTTCTTTGGACCAGTGGGGCAGACTGGACTTGGGGGAATTCTTGAAGGTGTGGCCGTTAGCTCTTGATATTTGTCGCCATGCTACCCAATTCCCTTTGCCTGGCGGATTCCCGAAAGAACATTCTTCAGGAGAAACCTTTGCCGCGCAGCGAAGCAAAGCTTCCAAACCTCTATGCGCGTTTCTGGTCATCTCACAGCCAAAGTCGAGTTCTGGAGGCAGCTAAGCTGGCCGCCTGACTCGATGACTCAATGGCTCATTTGTTGAAGGTGGCCACTTGTTTGGCTCCAAGTCCGCAGTGCAGAATGGTGGCAGAAAGTCTTTCGACTCTTTCTTGGCCCACTTGTTGTCAAAGGATACACCCAGTCACCTCAACATCGACATTTCAGCCCCAGCTTGCACAACAAAAGCCTGAGCAGAATTGAAACAGGGAGGCTCCCAAAACGATCATCCAAGTAAAGACGGAGGCATCGGCGGCAAGATTTGATGTCCATCAGGTGCCATTGACAGAGCTTTCACGCAATACTGTAAAACAAAGAAAACGCTGCCATGGAGCTTCCCTGAAACCTGTCTAGCATCAACTCCGGCCAGTTTCACGCCAGTTGCCTCAACCTGACCTTAGCAACTGTGCCAATACGACTGTCGGACAGCGACGTGGAAAGTCCTGATTCGCCTCGGCGAGGATGGGATGGTTTTTGATGTTTCGCCCCTGACGGTTTTCACCAGGTTTTCACTGGTGTCACAGGTCCGGTGCAAACCTGGTGTCGCAGCTTTTCTATGCTTGCCGTCTGGTGCACGTATGTCGGACGGCCATTCCAGCACCATCCAGTTGGGTAAAGGGAGTCTCCAAAAGGTTCAGGTCAAAATGCCGGTCCAATCGACATTGACTCGACCTTTTGGTGGCTGAGGGTGATGTCGTGGGCCTTTTTCGTGAGGATAGGATCCCAAGGAGTAGATGGTCGATGTTGGGCCTGCTTGGCTAGCTTGGCTTAGAAGCTTTTACCTAGATACTTTCTTGAGAAGCAATGCTGATGCCATGCCACAAGTCACGCCCCCGAGCACATCCCTAAGCTTGTTGGCTGTAATGCAGCAATCAGTACAAAGTGCATGGAGCATAAGCATGTTCTTTCAGGCCATGGTTTCAATGGGGTTGCACAAAACCATTCTAGTTTTCCACCTTGCTATAGACATATTGAGACCATGGCCTTTGAACATGTTCCAATGAAGAAAGAAAGGATGACATGTAGGAAATCACAAATTGGAGATCCCAGCAGGTTTCACAAGCTGGTATGACCCTGCCAGGAGTTATACAATACGGTTGTCATTCCTAATACCCCCAGGCCAAGAATCTCAAGCTCTTCCTTTCCGAACCAGTTCGAAGGAACCCTCACCGTCAGTGCCGCCGCAATGGGTCACACAACCCATTGCAGATGGGGGGAGCTTATGGGCCTCAAGATCCAACTTGGCAAACTCATTGGATATTCATCCCTGATACTAGACAGGTCAGCCAGTCGCAACCTGAAAACTGCACATCCTGCACATTGAGTCCTCATTTTCTTGGAGGGATTGGCCCCCCGGTGCCAGCTTGTGCTGCTGGCAGCGCCAGGAACGCCCCAGGCTCTTGTTTGCGTGCGCGAATGCGGTTGGGGACAGGCGACCAGCGGTATAATGGGCTTCAGGCACCCAGCGGTTTGTGTCACGCGATCAGAGGATAGTCGTAGCCAGGGAAACTCGAAAAGAACATTCAGGTGCTGGCTATGGGGAGGGCTTGAATGTTTGAGGTGCTTTGGTTTGTTTCCTGTGTCACATGTCACATGCTTCACGTTTTCAAGTAACTTCATATCCATTGCGATGGATGAAGGAGCACCAAAGGAAACAGATGCACATCGAACATCGCTCCGACCTAATCATCACATCCCTTGGAAGAGGCTAAACTTGCTGCGCACTTCATGTACATGTTCGGTTTGGGCCGAAATTCGGCCGTTTGGATGTCAAAGCGCCCATGTTCACGCTTGAGACCGGCATGGAAAATTAAAAAAACGGCTAAGAAGCACCATCCAGCACCTTCCAACAGGTCTCCTCTGGAGGCTTTTGTAGACTTCGGCCGGCGCAGGCCGGTGACATCAGCAGGTTAAGTCTGGGCACCACGTGGGATGGGCTGGTCCACGTGGATCCAGGTGGTCCAAGCACTCCGCCACCGAAGACACGGAAGAAGACCGATGCTGGGGACCGAAATGGGGACATCAGGGAGTGACGGAGTGAGGTGGATTCATGTATTATGTGGGATGAGCATTGTATGAGCGGTACATATATCATATATTACATATATATATATATATATAATATCATGTATATATATATATATGCATATTTTTAAGTAGTCTATACATAACATGTGCCTATATAATCCTATAATATCCTATATATATATATATATTATACTGTATTAATATATACTGTATATATACTTTGCAACTCTGCAGACTGCCCATGAGGTGTTTGCATTAGGGTCACGCATGGGACAGGAAGAGGTACCAGGTCTGCGTTGTGCACGCGGATGCCAAATCCAGACCGGGCCTCCCTGGATCAATCCCAAAGAACTGGTGGGGACCGCTGGGTCACCCCCCTGATCCGCATCGATCGCGGTCAACTTCCACCTGCCATTCCCACTGCTGCCGTTCAGATTTAGAGGAGTGGTTCCTTCAAGTGGGGGGTGACCATTGCCCCATTGCGTCCCACTGCCATCCACTACCCACCCCAGTGATGTTGTTTAACGCGCATGAAACAGCCCACGTAAGTTTGAGTTTTGTGCGGGCATCATTCATGAAAAACCAAGCGGGCACGAAGAAGTGCCGAGACCAAAATCACTCCAATGCTGGAGACTCCGTGTAGCTAAGGTCAAAACAACACCTGCGAAGCGGCGGCGCATGACCCAAGCTTCAAGGGAGGCACGGTCGGGGCCGACGCTGAGGAAGCGTGGTGGTGCACCTTGGTGGCCCTTGAGGCGGAGAACCTCAGAATGTCAATGTCCAAGACATTCCCTTTTCAGTTTCGTGCTACCAACTTGCGAGTCACCCAACCTGCCAGCGGAAAACCCATTGAATTTGTAGCGGAGAATGGTCCTCCGAACTCAGGGCCGGCCATGCCATCCACTTGATTCTTTGACGAGGGTAGGGTAGACTCTTTAGTCGCTGCCAAAAACCAGACACTCCATGCATGGTATATAATATATGAATTATATATGCCTACATTGACCCCGTATGGTGCCTCCTTTTCAAACACCCCGTATGTTTCCATGGAGCCCGTCCCATGGAGCCGTGTCGTGACATTGGGCGTTCGTCTCGTGACAGCTGGGCGTTCGTCTCGTGAAGCCCATGGTGGGTTGGGTCAATGGTGGGGATTGAGGGCGTGGCTCCAAGACCACGTTCGGCCCTAAGGATTCCAAGGCGCCGTCGGCGCGTCTCTAATTCGTCTGTTTTCGTAGTGCATGGGTTCTAAGTAGTTAAGGCTTACCGCAGACCTATATAGCTGTGGGTCCGTGGGTCAAAACTAGGAAACCATGGAATACCTTGGTTGACCTACCAACGAAACTTGCGGACTCTGTCTGAGGCGCTTCCCACGACCCTTCGGTTTCACCGGGTATCTGGGAGTGTTGTATGTAAGCTAAGCAGGGCTGTACACCATGGAATCAGAAACACAAAAAGATTCACCTGAATTAAA